CAGCCGCTGTTGAAACTGATCAGTTTCAGCAGCGGCTGAATCTGGACGCCAGTTCCGACTTACATACAGATTCAACTTAAGAACAAACCTACAGTCCCTATCTTGTATGTAACCCGGGGACTACCTGTATTGTTCTTCAAGATGTGTTGCTCTGTTCAGTTCATTACCTGCTCTTCTGCCCCTTGGTCAGAGCTACCAGCAAGAAGGTGTTGAAACTGATCAGTTTCAGCAGCGGCTGAATCTGGACGCCAGTTCCGACTTACATACAGATTCAACTTAAGAACAAACCTACAGTCCCTATCTTGTATGTAACCCGGGGACTACCTGTATTGTTCTTCAAGATGTGTTGCTCTGTTCAGTTCATTACCTGCTCTTCTGCCCCTTGGTCAGAGCTACCAGCAAGAAGGAGCTAATGAATGGGTCTGAATATAAGGTTCTTCCCAAACAAATACTATTTTCTTCATTACTGTGAAGTTACTAATACATAACTGCTGTTGATGATTTATAAATTGTACCAGACAGAAAAGTTCAAAACTTCATTTGTAGGTGGAAGCTGCTAAAAAAGCATACCATGCAGCATGCAAAGAGGAGAAACTGGCTATATCCCGAGAAATGAATAGCAAAGCTGATCCAGCGCTGAATCCAGAACAACTTAAGAAATTACAAGACAAAGTGGAAAAAAGCAAACAAGACGTGTTAAAGGTAAGAACTCTCCAAGCTAGTGTACTGTTCATTTAACATTCTGTGTATGCTACACTGCACATCTGTGTGGAATACATATATAGCAAACTGTAGCACGAGCAAGTGCAATGTGGGGGTGATAAACTCATTATATTGAGCAGAGACTATTTTAAATTATGATCTTTGTGTCAAAGCCACAGTGTCAAGAACAGATACTACCCTTTTTCCAGAGCATGTCAGCGGCAAGCTTGTAACAAAAACAACCATAATATGAGTCTATACTGTTACTTTGTGGGGGGGAGCAGGGGAAGAGCAGTTCTAGGAGTGGGTGAAGGCTGAATTGTCCTTTTAGTTTAAAGGGGCTATGAACTGTGAGTAAAAAACCTACAACACGCAGATGGTCATGCTTCATTGCAGAATGTACTTTTTTGACTCAGTTAAATAGTGCATTAAAGACAATGACTCTGTTTTAAAGAGTGAATATATTTGTGAAATTTCACTACCAGCTGCCCTATTTGGGCATTTTCTATCTCTTCAAATCCTCTCTGCTTTGATCTCCCTTTTTTTCACTTATTCTCCATACAAGATGCCATTCATTGGAGTGTAGAGAGGAGGGGGAAAGCAGCCCTTTCTTTCTCTGGCCCTTCAGGATTCAACATTACATTCTTGTAGTGGTTGATTAGAAAGCTTATTGTATCTGTTTCTGTACATATTCAGAGCCTTACTTTTAAGAAGTGCAGATATAGCGCAAATAAGTGCAAATGCAAGAGAGTCCCATTTTGTTACATTGCATAATGGCAGACAACTAAAAAGTGATACTTTTTTTTAAGTGCTTGCATAAACATACTAAGTCCAAATACTAATATGAATGAACTTGAGCAGCTGGTATTAAATGGAGATACTGCAGTAACTGGCATCACAGAAGCTTGATGGAATGTCAATAATCAATAGAATATTAACCCCAGGGTACAAAATATGTGACAGAACAGGTTCTGCTGGTGTGGGTGTGGCACTCTGAGAGAGAATGCATAGACAAATGTAATACAAATCTTAAATGAATCAAACTACCATAGAATCTTTTGATAGAAATTTCACACTTTAATAATAAGCATATGGCAGGAGTAATATACTACTGATCATCTGACCAAGATTGTGGTGGTTACTGAAATGCTCAGGGAGATAAGGATTATAAAAGTAGAAAACTCAATAGTTTGAAATGAGGGATTTCAATTATCCCCATGCTGACTGGGTCCATGTCTCCTCAGGACAGGATGCAGAAATAATTGAGACCCCATAAATGATTGCTTCATGGAGCAGCTGATCCTGGAAACCTGTAAGCGGAGAGGCAGTTTTTTATTTATTCCTATGTGGAGCACAGGATCGTCACAAAGAGGAGCATTAGCTGAACCACTTGGTAATAGTGATCAGGGCTCGACAAACTACACAGTCTACTCGCCACGCGCCCCGTTCATCCGTGGCACGCGCATGTGCAATACGGCTCTTGCGCATGCGCAGTACGGGGCTGGCAAGCGATTTTTGCTGCTGTTTGTCAAGCCCTGATAGTGACTATAAATATAATTAAATGTAAACATCCTTGGGGGAGAAGGGTTACCAGAGAAGGCACCACCGAGCCATTTAACATCAGAAAGGGAAATTATGCAAAAATTAGGAAGCTGGTTAAATTAAAGGAACAATCACTAGAGTGAAGTGTCTGCAAACTTCATGGAAACCTTTTTAAAACACCATGATAGAGGCTCATATTAAATGTATACCCCAAATTGGAAAAAAGAGGACCAGAAATGTACTTCCATGGCTAAACAACAAAGTAAAAAGTGGTAAGAGTCAAATAGGCACCCTTTAAAAACTGGACGTTAAATCCAACTGAGGAAGATAAAAAGGGGCATAAAATATGACAAGTCAAGTGTAAAAGTATTAAGCAGGCCAAAAAAAAAAAACATTTGAAGAGTAACTATCAAAAGACTCAAGAATTAGGAGTGGGGACGCTAAATAAAATTACATTCTTTTCTTGAGTATTCCTTTAGCAAGGAATTAATTTAGCTTCTCCACAATGGCATCTGTTTTTATTCCAAGAATGAGAGAAATTTCTATTCTTGAACCAGTCTTTTTAGATGACCAATCTGAAGAACTATCCCAGATTGAGGTGATGCCAGAGAAGGATTTGAAACTACAGTAAGTCCCCAGAACCAGATGGTGGTAAGAGGTGATGCCAGAGAAGGATTTGAAACTATAGTAAGTCCCCAGAACCAGATGGTAATTCTTCTAAGTGTTTTGAAGGAACGTAAATATGAAATTGTAGAACTACTAACTGTTATGTAACCTATCACTTAAATCTGCTTCTGCATCACATGACTGACAGCGAATGTGACACCAATTTTTTTAAAAAGTTCCCAGAGGCAATCCTGGCATTGGTCCAGTAAGCCTAACTTCAGTACCAGGTAAATTGGTTGAAACTATATTCAAGATACAGAATTATTAGTTTTTTGAGGGTTTCCATGGGCGTCAGCACTGCTGTGCACATGCTCTGGAGATCTTTACTAGCAGCCCTCCGGCCACCTGCGCATGTTGCACTATTGCGCAATCGCCCCAGTTAACAGTTAGACATGCAATGATGGCCATTCACTCAGTTCTTCTCAACCGCTGCTGGCATTGGTTGCACTTAGTCAGTCTCCCTAACAGCATCAAAAGGAAAAAAAGAAGAAAAAGAAAAGAGGAAAAGAATAACAGAAAAGCAGGCGAAATGGTGCCCGGGCACTTTTGCTGCGTCCTGCTTGCCCAAAGGACAACACAGAGGGGGAAAAAACCCTGTTATGCCTGTATCACTGGGCTTTAAAAGGTGCACAGGGTGCGGGACAGCAATCACAGCGGTAGACGGACACGAGCAGTGCCTGCACTGCCCAGAGCAAAACCATCCTGTCAGTCACTGCCCGCACTGTCAGAAGCTTGCCCCATGCTCTAAGAAGGTGCGAGAGCTACAAAGAAGACGATTATTTTTGTACCACAACGTGGCTGAGTCACAGCCTCATTCAACTCCCTCCAGAGATAACCCTCCGTTCCTTCTCTACGCCCGATTGTGTTAGCCAGGAGCACAATGGAGGAGGGTGGGTGTAGAGCATCCATGGGGACACAGCTCAAAACTCCAGTTACTGCACAAGGTGAGTAACCTTCCCTTCTTCTTTAGGGTCCCTGTGGGTGCTCCACTTAGGTGACTACACAGCACCTAAACCAATGGGTCCTTAGAAATAATACAAACCGAATACTGCATACCATTCACAGCAGTTCCACCAACTCACCTCCCTGCCCCGTCCCTCTTCAGGGAACCCTTCTCACGAGTTAGTCCTCCTGGACGAAGTGCCATGCCTCCTAGAACTAGGCGCTATAGAGGGAGGGGATTTTATTCTCGATACTTTGTCAAGAAATCGGGGGGGTGGAGGCCTATCATGGACCTATGTGCACTCAACCGGTTTGTCAAATATCAACATTTCAAGATGGTCACACTGGCAAAGACCATATCTGCCTTGGAAAAAGGAGCATGGCTAGCTGCCCTTGACCTCAAGGATGCATATTTCCATGTATCTGTTCACCTGGCTCTCAGATGATTCCTCACGTCCACCATCAAGAACTTACACAGTCAGTACAGGGTGCCCCCCTTCAGGCTGTCCACGGCCCCCAGAGTTTTTTCCAAAATTTTGTTAATGGTAGCCACACACCTGCAAAGAAAACAAACATATTTCCATATCTCGATGATTGTCTGATCATGGCGTCCACCTGTGGTGACACAGAATAATTACTGGAGTCAACAAGAGCGTTATTCGACATGCCTGGGCTCCTGTTGAATTTGGAAAAGTGAACCCTCCTATCCAGATGCTGGAGTTTATAGGGGCACGGTTGAACTGCAGTTGGGACATAGCCTCACTGCCGACCCACAGATGGTGGAGAATGCACGACTTGATCGTGTCCATACAGAGTGGCGCACATACAATGGCGCATACATGCCTGCAAATACTTGGACATGTGGCAGCATCTGTCCACTTTTGTGGTCCCGAATGCCCACCTACATATGAGGCCGTTCTAGGTATGGCTACGCTCTCCAATACACTCCATGTGCTCAGCTGGGTCAAAGCCACCCTGGATTGGTGGACAGACTTAAACAACGTCTGTATAAGACTTCCATTTCAGACGCTGACGTCATCCATCACTATCACGACAGACGCTTCCCCAATGGGATGGGGAGCCCATCTGGGGCGTGTGATATTACAGGGACAATGGACACACGAAGAGTCCCAGTGCTTGAGCTCAGAGCATTGAAAAGGGCATGCTCCCAACTGTTTCCATGCATATAAAACAATTGTGAGGATATTGTCGGACAATGTCACAACAACATATTACATGAACAGTTGGGGGGCAAGGTCTCGCAGCCTATGTGCAGAAGCAACAAAACTATGGCAATGGTGTATTCTACCCAACATCACACCTACCGCTATGCATTTGTTGGGCAAGGACAATGTACTAGCAGATGCCCTCAGCAGACAATTCCCACAGAACCACGAATGGGAGATCAATAAATCTATCATAACCAACCTTTCCAGGAGATGGGGGATACCCAGTTGTAGATCAGTTTGCAATGCACATCAATTTCAAGTGCCCACAATATTGTTTCAGGGCAGGCGTTGGATTGCAATCTCTCGGAGATGCGTTTGCAATACACTGGGACTTCCCACAGGCATATGCATTTCCACCTATACCTCTAATACATCAAACAGTAATAAAGGTCAAACAGGAGGCATCAAGTCATACTCGTAGCCCCCAATTGGCAGACACAAATTTGGTACCCTCTCGACTCAGGATGGGGGTGTATACCATGCCCTGGGTTACATACACTAAACCTGCAAGCCTGGATGCTTGTTGGCTCTTAAACAAAAAGCTAACCCTATCTCGAAGGGTCAGAGACATCCTCATTAATTCCAGGAGACCCACTACAAGATGAACTTACCTGCAGAAGTGGGCCAGGATTGTGGCCAGGAATTCGGTTCGAGCACAGGATCTATGCAAGGCAGGGATTTTGGATGTACTAGAACAGTAGTCCCCAACCATATGGATGCTTGTTGGCTCTTAAACAAAAAGCTAACCCTATCTCGAAGGGTCAGAGACATCCTCATTAATTCCAGGAGACCCACTACAAGATGAACTTACCTGCAGAAGTGGGCCAGGATTGTGGCCAGGAATTCGGTTCGAGCACAGGATCTATGCAAGGCAGGGATTTTGGATGTACTAGAACAGTAGTCCCCAACCATATGGGGTTGCCGGGCGCCAGGGGGCGTGGCCGTTCGCCCGCCGGGCGCTCGGGGGCGGGGCCCCCCCTTACGCGCATTCCTGGGGCCGGCGCTCTCCCCTCA